GGCCATGCTCCTGCTCTTTGTGCAAAAATCTTCCTGGATAGAAGCTACCTTCAGTATGTAATTGACTGTGTGGGAGATAACCAAACTTCAAGGACTGATTGTCAGGAACCATTCTCCCAAAATCAGAGGATGGAAGGAGCCCTTCAGTCCTTTCTAGGCCCACCCTGCACACATTATTAAAAAGAGAGCTGGAACTAGCATCCATCGTAAAAACCTGCAGGAGATGATATCATCCTACCTTTGCCAGGTGATAACAATCTTCTTTGTTTGGGTGTGATCTCTTGGGAATGGCTCACCTTCCCTCTGAGAACAGCCAAAGTATGTAATAGGGAATTTCTTGCTCTCAAATCAGGTGTCTCTCATTCTTCCCCGGGTGCTGAAGAATTGTAGGCTATTGTCTAATTGGCACAGAAAATGAGAGACAAAACCTAGAGAGCACCATCAATGGTTTTCCTGATTTGGGAGAGGAAAGAACTTCAGACTTTCCCCATGGAGGCTTACGTGTGTCACCACATTAGGATTCTTCCTTTGTTATCACTTATCCTCAGTACTACTTTGTTTCCAGGCTTAAAGATGGGCACCTTCTGGACAAAACACATCAATCTCCTGATTAGGTGGGAATCTGAAATAATGAGTAGCACAAAGTATAGAACACTGTCTGGCAATGAGTAGACCCTCAAAAAATATTATAGCAGGGATTGTGTTGATCATTCAAATCATTCTCATTTCTTCCTAGCATCCCTTGCAGTAAGCTTGGTCATGTCATTGGAGTGTGGCAACCCATTTGGAAACTCTGCTTACCCAGCGAAGAGTCATCAGTAACCAAACATCTGTCCATGAAGCTCTCTGTGCACCCTTCTTTTCCTCTCCTCTCTTTCCTCTTTCTCTTCTTCATCCCCCCCCCCCTTAAAATGCTGGGGATTGAAGCTATATGGTCTTGTACATGTTAAACAAACTACCATGGAACTATACCCCAATCATCTTTATTTGATTTTGAGTCAGGGTCTCACAAAGTTGCTCAGGCTGTACTTGTGATGGCCCTGCCTTAGCTTTCCAAGTAGCTGGAATTACATGTGTGCACCATTGCACCTGCCTTCCTACTTTCTGATACTTGACTTGCAACTCTCTTCATTATTCTTCACTAGTGGAAACAAATGGAGAACTATTCCTAACTCTGTTGAACATACATTCTGGTCACCACATTTTCTAACAATTGCATAGACTTTTTCCTCAAACACTACGTATGAGCCCACTAGACTTCTGGAAAGCCAGGTTTCTATCCTCATTGCAGGAATAAATGTGAAGGGTCTGAGATTTTCCCAGTTAGCAAATTAGAGTGACACAGCTTCATGGTTGCTCACAGAAGATGCAATTCTCCTGGATCAATGAAAAAAGATTAACTCACCATAATATCACCAGGAAGAGGGCATCAGTGTGATCTTGCACTGATTTCCTAGGTTCCAATTTCCACAGGACAGTGTCAAGAGAACAAGTGACACTGATGAACACAGTGCATTGCTTTATAGGAGAAAAATTCTGAGTTTAGGAATACACATTTTTTGAACTAAGATAGCCAATACCTTTCTTTTTTTAACAAAATGGTAGGGACTGATGTAAAATTGTGTCTCAGTAGAGTATAATGAAGACAAATTGATCCTGCCTTGTGCTATAATACAACACAACTATGTTTGTATAAGCCAGGGACAATTTTATTTCTAAATTCAGTTTTATTGAAATTTGATTTTATATGTGATTTCAAAAACTTAATGAATTTTGTTGAAACGAAAAGATTTACATCCCTAAAGGCATACATTTTGACTATATGTATATCTTTTTATAACTTATTTTCTGAGAAGGGAGTTTAGATTCATTTACATGTTTACAGCAATAGCCTGACATTAAAGTTCCTAATCTGTTTGTCCACACTGTTGTGTTGTAGGTTTATTCTGCTATCTCACGCAGCAAGATCTACATGAGAACAAATCTATTTGCATAACTTGGAACAATATTATTTTTACTTTTATTTTTCTTTTTAAATAGAACTCATTTCAAATTTTAAGAGGATTTTTTTTTAATTTAAACACTTTAATTACCATGTTTATATAGCAGCAGTATCTAACAAACTTCTGAGACACAGAGTAATATTTTGAGAGACTTAAGAACTCTTCCAGAAGCAAAACCCAAAATAAATGTGTTATTTAAAGCAACTGCAAAAATAATACTAAAAGGAGTATTGTTAGTATGAAAAAGATTTTCAATGCAAGGTGAATAGCCATCTTCCCTTACATAGAGGCAAAATTACAAGAATAACAAGTCAGGAAAAAAGGATACCTATACAATGCATATTTACCAAAAGCTAGAAACAGATGTAGAGATGTATGTTGAATATTGGCTGAAAAGAAAATCTCATCTGTATGTGAAATCCCATAATCATTACAAAGAGTAAGACAAGAAAACAAATTCCCCTTTTCCCTCAAATTTCAAAAATGGCCTCATCTAAATCAAAGTCAGAGACTTCTAGGAACTGATATGATAGTTCTAAATCCCATGACTAAGGTGACCACAGCTTTCCAAAGAGCTCCAGTTTTGTTGCTCTTATTCCAGGTAAATCCTACTTAACACTGGACTGTCCAATTTTTATAATAGAATTTTCTTTTGCTTTGTTTCATTTTAGTTTATTATGAAGATACCTCATAGTTCTTTTCTCAATAAAGATGACCTAGCAGCATTTCAGACTAAGTATATATCTTAGCAGATCCATTAGGATTTGGGTATTATGCAAAATAAATTTCTGCCAGCCAATTTTATTCACAAGTTGGAATATTTTTGCATAGTGATTTAATTTTCTGATATTATATACTTAAAATTTTAAAAGTCTGAAAGATAAGAGGATAATTCAGGATGAAAAATAATGTGTGGATTATGTGGACTGGACAAAACAGTTTAATCAGCTTATTCAGGTTAAACACATGCAGGTGTAGCTAAGAGCAAAACTGTTTCATGGAAAATGCAGATGAGCATAAAGTGAACAGTGTTTGAAGTGGCTTAAAATAGGAATATCAAATGTATGCATATCATCAAGATAATAAAAGAAGCATTCAAAAGGGAGCAACACTTCATCAAAAATCTAGAAGCTGACATGCTAAAATCAGATGGAATCTAAACTCAACAGGTTACAATAAACTAATTGCTTAGATTACCATAGGCTCTTGGCTTTCATAACTGAAGTGTTTTTCCCCCCTTCTTACTAAAGGACATCAAGATGTTCCAGAACTTGAAATGTATCGCAACAAAACTGTACATGATAATATTGTAAATTTTGATTGAAAATGACATTTTGGTGTTTTCGGCTAAGTAAGACAAGCCTCTAACTTGGATATAGACAAGAGAATCACAATTCCTTGTTTTCTCTGCTACATTAGATTTGTTATGGAGAAAATGGTATGGCCCTCTTTACAGGAATGGCAATGCGTCTTGCTGAGGCCTCCCTGTGGCTTCTTTCCCCCTCACATGTCATGCCCCTATCCCTGCATCCTTTACATCTTTCTCCATTTAACTGTCCAGGTCCTACTATGTGAAGAGTGAATTAACACCAAAGTGCACGATTAGGTGAAATAAACTTCTGTGTTTGTTCACTAAAAGGTAGTGATCTGTATTAGTTTGGTTCTTGAACATCCCACAAAGGCCCATATGTTAAAGGTTTGGTTTCCATCCTGGGGCTGTTAGAGGAGATGGAACCTTTAAGAAATGGGTCCTTGTGGGATGTCTCTAGGTCATTGGGGGCTTGTATTTAAAGGAGACTGTGGAACCCCCAGCCCCTACCTCTTCTTCACATCCCAGCCATGAGGTGAATGGTTTGCTTTGCCATGTGCTCCCACCAAAATGTGCTTCCTGCTTCCACCAGAGGCCTGAAAGCATTAGGTCTGCCCAATAAGGAACAAAATGTGTTAAACTGTGAGCCAAAATAAACATTTTCTCTTCAAAAGTTGATTATCTTAGACATTAGAAGAAAGCTAATACATGATCTATCAAGCAACCCTAATAAGTATGCATCAAAAAGACACATATTAATAATGTTACTTAATAATAATAATTTATACAGTTCAAATACATACACTTAAAACTGTTGCAGTAATTTCTCAACCCATTCTCTTTGGGACTATAATAGTTGCTTGAACAAAGAATTGAATGAAAAAAATATGTGTGTGTGTGTGTGTGTGTGTGTATTTTCATGATACAAACATATCAAGTATATATAAATGTATGTATATACATATACATATTCACTGTACATGTGTGCATACACATATGTATATACCAATTAAAAAAAAATAACACTTAAAATAAAAGAATTATATTACCTTATAATTCACTGGGGCTTTGCATGTGAAGCTCTGTTTGGGCAGTTTACCAGCTAGGTTCAGGTCTATGCCCAGCTGATATTTGGAGTAAACTCTCCTGCTCATTCTTCTCCTTCATTTGCTGGGCTCCCCATAGAACATATTACATCCTACGCTTTCCTCTGACCTGACCCCAAAACAGGCCTGGTCAGGGTCTGCCTAGATGTGACTGGTAACATTAGGAGAAGAAATTTGGAAGACAGGAAAATACTAAAGCAACTCTTTTTCCCTAGAAATGGATCTTATGAGCTAATGGTCTTGAGATTGATATGAAATTGTTACACCAGACATCCTGGCTTTCTGTTTATATTTATGGTAAAATACCCCAACTACAGCATGAGTCACACACAGACAAAATGTTCATGTATTCCCCTATGCAGGTAAATATTCTTATCCATATATCTGGTCCAACCACACTCCTCCTTAAGATTTGACATTTCCCTTGTCCTAGTAGCTTTAAAACTCTTGGAGAGGAAAGCAGAGTCAATGGACCATCTTCTTTTCTGCCTTGTTTTTTCTTTTATTTACTGCTTTCCATAATTAACAGGATTTTTTAGTTTGTCCTAGGGAAAACTACCACAGATTATTTTTCCCAAAAGATGTTTTGGTAAATTTTTATTTGGATAAAATGCCAAAATTATAGAAAAGTTACAGGAATAGAACAAGGAATTGTCATACAGTTTTTTACCCAGGTTATATACGTTTCCCCCCATTTATGCTGTGTGTGTGTGTGTGTGTGTGTGTACATTTACATATCAACATCATATACACACACACCCACACGAAAGATACTTTCTTTTTTGCTGTTGTTTTGTTTTGTTTTCAGTACTGGGGATCAAACCTAGTACTTTGCACATGCTAGACAAGATCTCTACCACTGATCTACAACCCCAGCCCTGAACAAGACACTTTTGAATTCTAATTAACTTGTAAATTTTTAGAGCACAAATTTTTACAATGAAATCATGACATCATTTTCTTGGTAAATACTTCCAGTCTTTTTAGAAAATATCATCAAGATAGTCAAATCAAGTTATTTCAAATAGAAGTAAAATTTTCACAATTATATTTTTAGTAGGATGGAAACTTGATTCATTATATATATATATATATATATATATATATATATATACACACACACACACACTAAAATGTTCAGCACAAATACTTAAGAAAGCTGTTGAAACAAATGATGAAGTATTATATATATATGATAAATACGGCATTGTATTTTATGGGTTTTTAAAAAATTTCTTGGAGCTCCTATTATTTTCTCTATAATAAAGTTTCAGGTCCAGAAAGAAAAAGTGTATTTTCATCAACTTCATATCATTGTGACATTGTAAATATATTTTCCCAACCCTGTAGCTCTATACCAGGGAGAAGTGTTTATTGAGACACATCCAGTCCTAAAAGACATCAAGTTTCATTGAATAAATAGTAATCATTGTATTATCTATAGTGGTACCCTTGGGATAGTAGAGGCCAATCAGAAATGACTTTTATTATTAATGTTACTATGGACTAGTCTGGGGACTAATGGTGAAAATTAAAGAGCTTTTAAAATGAACTACTTCTTGGAAACCCAAATAAGAGTTAACTGTATCTATGGATCTGCTAATGCTGACTTAAAAACTATAATGTTCAGTTTTCTCGTGGTTTCAAGTTGATCTCTTTTGAAAATAAAATCCTTTTCCCAAACTAAATTGTGCATATTTTTTCATTTCATCAGAGAATTTAAACTGACATAATTAAAAATAGAAGTTTAAGCTCTATTGTTGGGCTTATAACTCCACGGTAAAGTACTTGTCTAGCAGAGATGAGACATTGGGTACCACAAACAAAACAAAACATCAAAAAACCTTCAAATTTCAGAAAACTGTTCTGAAATTTTCACAATGAAATCATGGCATCATTTTCTTGATAAATACTTCCAGTCTTTTTAGAAAATATCATCAAGATAGTCAAATCAAGTTATTTCAAATAGAATAAAAAAATTTCACAATCATTTTTTTAGTAGGATGGAAACTTGATTCATAGTATATGAACACGAAAATGTTCAGCACAAATACTTAAGAAAGCTGTTGAAAGAAATGATGAAGTATTATTTTTCACTTCTGAATTTCAGTTTTCTTCTTGGAACTTTTTTGGCTCAGCATGTCAATAGAGGATTCTGCTAAAGAAGGTCTAAATTATTCCAAGCATATGTGTGTGTGTGTGTATATATATATATATATATATATATACAATGTTTTATTATTGTGCATACTTGAACCCCATATCACTTCTGGCTAAATTAAATTAAAATATTATTGCCTCTTAATATAGACTAAAAGCCTTTTTTTAAAAGTTATGAATAGTTTAATGATTTAATAGAATCTTAATGATTTAATAGAAATTAAATTGCTAGTGTGAATTAAAAGAGCCTTTGCCATATGTAGAATAAAAAATTAAACAAAAGAAAATATTTATTGTATGACATTGTATTGTGAAGAATATTTTTAACTTCAAAAAATGAAAGTTGTTCTTTGATACTTACAGAACTATTTTATTACATATTGCTTCTGACTGCTTATTTTCTAAAAAGAGAGGAACAACAACCACAAAAAATATAAGATGCACAGAGAAAAAAAGCTCAGCTTATTTTGTTATATACACTAACAGATAAATGAGAAAATGCAATAAAATGAAGAATTTGAAAGGTTGAAAAAACTTACAATATTTAGGACTGTAATTTCTATTCAATATTTTTTTAAGGCAACACTATCACAAATACACTTTAGTAACCATGACATTGCACCAGCACACAAGATTTCAGGTGACTGCATCACTCTGTACAGTTGACTACAATTGCCTGATATATGTACAATGCGTGCTGAATTCAGAGTACAGGCAGTTAAGTGATTGTTATATTACAGAAATACACCTTCAGAAGTCACTGATTGAGGTTTCTCTTAGAAGAATTGAAGTACTGAAAGGAATACATTTTTGTCATGTTAAATGGGGAAAGGGTAGATTATGACTTAGCTCCTGAAATTTTAATACTGCTCTTGAGTCTCTGCAATTCTAATGTGCTTTCAGAAACTCTACACATTCTTGAAGGAGTCAGACCCAAAGACTAACAAGCTGCTCACTAATCTATTCCTGATGCTTTGCCTAAGAAATTGGCATTGCCATCTTCAACGTCTTTCTTTTGGAAGCACGGTTTTGAATCTGTTCCTTGTTGATAAGAATCCAGAAAATGACAGATTCCAGGAATTTCACTGGGGAAGTTTGGTGGAAGTTCCTCCCTTGATCGAGGGGTAAACACAAAACCAGGGCAGTCTTTGAGTAATCTGAAAAGGTTAAAATAAATATAGTAAGAGTTAATGCTGATATAATATTGGGCAAGCCAGGAAAAGAAGACAACATAAATAAATGAATGTAACTAAACCAGCCATTTCAGGTGTGATTGACAGAAAGATTTTCATGATGTTAACAGACATCTTCACTGAATAAATACAATGAAAAATAAAACTCAAAATAACAAGAAAATTCTACTAATATATTTGACTCTTATTAGAAATGAATAAAATATTGTGAAATAGTCTGAGATATAATTTATATAGCAGTGTGATTCACGGTATTAAAAAAACAAAGATCTAATAACAGCATAATTAAAATATTATTGAATAAGGCTTCTTAAAATGAAAAAGTGTTAAGTCATGGTCCCTTTATCAATTCATGAACTGTGTATATGTTACTTAGAAAAATCATGGGCAAGAACTCGTGAAAAAAAATGGTAATAGTGATGTCAAAATAAATGTTGGATATTTCAATAGAATTTTTACGAATTCTAGATTAGTAGAACTCAAATGAGATGTCATTGAACATACTCACTGTGTACTTTCCATTTGGTATGTATTTATAGTATTTTCCTCTTAGGTCCATCAGTTCTACCAAGCCTTATTATTTGTTACTTGTCCATTATGATAAATTCATTTTAAATTAGAACCTTACTGATTAAGTTACTGACTTCACTTCCCATTTTCTTCCCTAGCTTTCTATCAAATGCAAAAGTCATTAATTATTCTCTCTAATTTATGATTCAGGCCATGGATAAACTTTATTGAATAGTTCTGGGACCTAAAGTAATGCTTACAGAAAATCATTTATCATTTCTGCTTAACAGAAATGGCTATTTTTTCTATTCACCCGTCTGTGGTGTCAGGTCTTAAGGAAATCTGAATTAGATTTTAGTGCAGTGATTTTCTTCTGTGCCCTGAAAAACCCAACTGAATTGGATTTCATGTCTGAAGAAAGAGTCTAGTATAATACAACACACCAATATTCTATTAACTGCTAAAGTACATCAATAAATATATCATCTGTAAGATAGGAAAACTAATAAAAATTGTGCTTTTATCATAAAATCAATATTTTAAAGTGGCTGTAATTTATAGGGCATAGTATCTGGTGAATCCACTCTAATATGACTTGAGTAGAAGAAAGACACTGGCTTATACATATCATATAATACACATTATATAACAGAGCATGCACATAGATTCTGGCTTACTTACACTCTAAAATACATATTATAACACTCATAATATTCACATAGAGTGACATGCTAGATCTGGATAGCATTGGCTTGGGAGCCAACTTAAACACTATTTTATATTTGCATAGCATCCAGTAAGTATCTACTGCTTGCCTTGATTAACACTAAATGTATACCCATTATTAATCAAATTTCACAAAGCATAGATATTTCATTGACATTTCAATTTTCTATTCCCTTTTAAGTTTTCATGTCACATTGAAAAATATTGAAATACCACTAAATGAATCTTAGAATATTGTCAAATGTCTTTCACATTACTTCTTGCACAAATAAAACATTAACTATTTGGATAGGATACAAGTATTTCCTATATAAGAATAAAGTGAAAGTCAATTATCATTCAAATCCATAAGAAAAGAAAAAGGCTACACCCTATTTTTCTACAAAAAAAAGGAAGTGGGGAGAGTGGTAAAGCTGAAGTGGTCTAGCTCAGGTGGGAGAGAGAATCGCGGCATGACTTGGATGGTAGCACTGAGAAAGGTGAGAAAAGCTGTATTCAGGATGTAATTTGTAGGTGGACATGGTGAGACGTAAGGAGAAGAAAGTAACAGCCACTGTACAGTTTAGTGTCTTGGTGAAAAGGTAGAGTGGTGTCCTTTTAAGGTGATTAGTAAAGCTTAGCTGGGTGGGAAGTGAATTTCATCAGGGTATAGTGTATTGGAACTCACTCCATTAAGTTCATTTTCCTCTGTCAATTAGTCATCTAAGAGGAAATAAAGGATAGGATGTATGAGTCTGTAGCTCAGTGGAGAATTATGAAATGGTCTAGAGTTTAAAAAAAAAAAAGATGAGAGTCATAAAAGTTCATTTTAAAATTTAATTAATTAATATTTTTTTCTTAAGTTAGGTTCTCATTGCGCTGACCAGGCTGGCCTTGTACTCCTGGGCTCAAGCAGTCTTCCTGCCTTAGACTCCTAGTAGCGGGAACTACAGGCATTCACCACTGCACCCAGAAAGTGAGTCATTCATAGACTTTCAGACACAGAAGAGAGAAGGGACAGAGCCTGATGCTGCAACTTTCAAGGGTCTGGTGGGGAGGACTACACACAATAGACACTCAGATGGTGTAGCCCTGTGGTAAAAAGAAAACCAGGTAGATGTAGAATAAACTTTTTAAAGAAGGGAATGCTCCCCAAGCCCATTCAATTGCTATTGAGATGATATGGAACATAAGGAAAGAGAAATGACCATGATTTTAGCAATGTCCACTGAGGATCAGATAAGAACCATTCCAGTGAAGAAGGGACAAACATTGAAAAGGGACTGAGTTAAAGAGCAGCGAGAGAGAGAGAGAGAGAGAGAGAGAAGACAAAATAGAGAGACTGAAGACAGATGGTTCCTTTTTTTAAAATTCATTTTTTATTTGTTCTAATCAGTTATACATGGCAGCAGAATGCTTTTCTATTCGTTGTACACCAATGGAGCACAATTTTTCACTTCTCTAGTTGTACACGAAGTAGGGTTGCACCATTTGTGCAATCATACATGTTCCCAGGATAACGATGTCTGTCTCACTCCACTGTCTTTCCTCTCCTCATTATCCCTCTCTTTTCCTCCCTCCCCTTTTCCCAATCCTCCACTTGTCCCATGCATACCCCCATCATGGATTAGCATACACTTATCAGAGTAAGCATTCGGCCTTTGGTTTTTTGAGACTGGCTTACTTTGCTTACCATGATATTCTCCAACTCCATCCATTTACCTGCAAATAGCATAATTTTACTCTCTTTTAAAAGAAGAATTATATTCAGATGGCTTCTTTTTTGTTTCCTATGTAAGGAGCAGAAATACAAGATGATAGCAGGAGATGAACTTGAAAATGAGCGAGTTTTTACGTTTTCAAGAGCTTCATTAATAAGATACGTTTGAAGGCTGTTGGGAATAATTATTTCATTCAAGAGAAATCGATCATGGAGATAAGACAGTTATTTTTCTAGCAGGAAAGTTCTGGAGAAGGTGACAGGAATAACATTCAGAGCAAAACTATTTAAACAGGAGCAAGGCAGCTGGCCCAGTGCCCTAGGAACAAGAGCTGAAGACATGGGCACTGAGGTGGTGGTGAGGATAGATTTGACAGTATGAAGATGAATGGTGGAGTTCTCATCCAACTGCTGAGAAATAGGAAGCAAGGTTTTTAAGGGAGTCTGGGTTGGAAAGCAAATACTGTTGCAGATTTCAGGAGAAAAAAAAAAGATGCTCCAAAGGAATTATCTCTGAGAATAGTAAAACAATTTGCTTACTGTTTTGGCTACCATACAGTTCTGGAAAATGTTTTTGCTATTTAATAGTTTTGATTATAATGTTTTATTTGAGTGTGACAAAATTCATAGGACCAATATATTTCTATCAGTACAGAATGGTTTATTTTCTGATTAAAGGTGGATAAGAAATACCCCAATGACAGGTTTTGTTCACTCAGGTTGTTCAGGGCACTCTGTCATGGAGACAAGTACTCTTAGTGCTAGATAACACATGGCTCATCTTTTACTATGTGGACATTACCTGCTTGTCCATAAGACTCTGCATACCTGGGAGATGTTTAATAACCTGCCAGTTTTCCTCTGGGAAACTGTCCACTGCTATAGTTAGGGAATTGCATTGATCCCAGTCCTTGGTTTCAGGGAGCAAGTTTCCAAAACTCTTAAGATTTCCTAAGTTATAGGAATGTTTTTGCTTTTCATGAGCCTTTGGATCACACCTGAGTTTATGCTAAGAAGATGACTCTAAATGGGGGCAGAGTTCCAGAAAAGACAAGTAGGTGATTAGAAGACTGAAAATCTGGGGGAGAAGAAAGAGTGGTTGGAAACTGAGTTCATACAATGCCATTGAGTAAATCAATTATGTCTACATAATGTAACCAACGAGTCCAGACACCAAAGCCTACAGCTTAGTGGAGCATCTTGGTTGGTTAACCCAATGATATGGAAAGAGGGTAACTTGTCCTGAACCCATGGGAAGGTGGCATGAAATCTCCATAGTGAAGATCTAATTATTTGACTTGAGGGGATCTTGGGAACACTGGAATTTGTAGCCAGTCAAAAGTGCTGGTAGCTTGAGGACCCCTGAAGTATGGCTGGCATCTGGTTTTTAAAGACAGTATTATTGGGAACTGTGTCCTACCATGAGTCTATGCTAATTTTGGGTAGTTAACACCAGAACTGTGCTGAAGTACCCCAACTGATGTGAAAATGCCTGTTGATGTACTTGAGAATATTAATATATGCTTTTTAAAAAACAGTAATGAAGGAAGATGTGACGTCTGTCAAGAATTACAATTGAGTCACAAATATCTCATGAAGCTAATAAGTGATTTTAAAACAAGGTAGCAGGGCTAGGGTATAGCTCAGTGGCACAACACTTGCCTAGCATGGACAAAACCTTGGGTTTGATCACCAGCACCACACAAAACAAAAAAAAAAATACAAAATAAAACCAGTTAAAGTGAAGATGGTTAGAAGCTATTGCTTTTCTTTTTCCTTTAATATTATCTATGCAAGAAGAGAGTTATGGAAAATGAATCAAATCAGTAATATAAAAATGACAATTTTATATAATAAAACAATATATTTCAGGTGTTTAACACCATTAGTACCTGTAGGTTGTTGGACTAACATTGATTTTTCGTGGCACACTGCAGGACTCAAATTTGTTAGCCAGAGTGACATTATTTCCAAAAAGGCAGTAACGGGGCATTTTAACTCCAACAACTCCAGCAAAAACAGATCCAGAATGCAGTCCAATTCGCATCTGAAAGTTAAAACATAACAATATTCCCAGTTACTGGTAAACCACTTCCTACTTGTCACAAATAAACCGTTTCCTACTTGTCAGTGTTGTTTGAATGTCTTGTCTAAATTATTTTTACCAGTAGCTCCGACCACACCATTGCCTTCCTTAACACTTCCTTCTATTTCTCACATGCAAGTAAAAATTACTAGTGAGGAATCAGTAGCCTCCCCCTTACCTCTCTTCTATTTATATGGTTAGGTTTCTTAAGCAGACCACGTTTATTACCTTAATTTCTGAAACACACATACCCTTATGGTCCCTACAGCCTCGTAACAAGGAATCTGTGGGCTGTTTATGTAAAATAAGCTCTGTCCATCAAGTGAGAAAGATATAAATTCTGGACTCTGGGAGTTGTTTCTCAAAATAGTGACAGAGAATGGCAAAGGAAACTAATACTCTAAAATGGAATTTTTCAAAGCCTGGCAAGGTATCACATATCTATTGTCCCAACTCCTCCAGAGGCTGAAGGCAAGAAAATTACTTGAGCTTGGGAGTTAAAGGTACCTGGGGAACATAATGTGGCTGTACCCCCCAAAAAGATTTTTTTAAGGATGTTTCATTTAAAAATAATTTATGTCAAATGTTATCCCATTATCAAAATGACTAACTATGGAAGATAAATTGTAATATTTAAGAAAAAAATGATACAGGAAAATAAAAATTAGAATTGCCAGAGATAAGATCCCACTAACTATAATCTATATATTCTACGCACACTAAAGTAAAATTCAGGTTTATGCAACACCAAAGTTGTGCCATGTCTAGAAAAAGAGGCAGCCTATAATATGTTGGCATAAAAGTTGAAGAGTTGTGAATGACTGAAGGATGCAGTGACATGGAATATTTTAAATGGAATATTCTAAAATATCTAATATTTGATGATCTAAGAAAATGTACAAATTCTTAACACTACAACAGTGAAAGTTAATATATTTTAAATGAGAATCAGATACCATATAAATGTTTTTTCACATTCTATGTGTAGTTGACCATTTGAAAACATTTTATTAGATATATGCATTTTAAACAAAAGCCAAGGACTCAGTAACTTGGACACAATTTAAAAAATCTGAGAATTTTAGTTCCCTAGCCTATCTTTTATCCACAAATATAAACCATGATTTCAGCACAATTGATTGAGAAGTTATCACTCTCTTGGGGATTCTTTTAGTCAAACCAAATTTTCTCTGTTTACATAGTTATTCTAGCTTTTTATATGATATACATACCATGGCATTTAAATCTTCTTATTTCATAAATAATATGTAAATACATTCTCCTCAAAGCCAAAGCCAAAGCTCAGAGAATTCTTCCCATGCCTGTTGCCCTTCCTCCCCTTTTCCAGTTCTCATATCAACCCCAGAGGTTTTTTTTTAGAGAACTTTCCAAATACATGAGCAAGAAAATGATCCAAAGTTTAAAATGCACATCATGCCCTGAATGCATATCTTTACACTGGAAAAAGACTTCTATGGAAACAATTAAAGAATAACAGACTTCTGTCTCCCACTAAAAGCTGAATTGGGATCCTATTGGGAGAGTTTCATATTTGGGGACCACTTTTGGCCTAACTAATTACTTATTCTAGGCTTCTGGGAACAGGAAGGTGGAGTACCAAATGTTCGTTTCCATGTTCACTAACTTAGAGACTCTCACAGTGACATTCAGCACTTCAGTCTGTCTTCTGTCCACTACACTTATCTAAGCTGGAGTGGATATACTTTAGTGAAGCTGTAAATAGGAAGTGTATCAGTGAATAATTTGCATATGGGATGTGTTGGAAAAAAGCACAGAATTTGAAAAGGAGAAAAAAAAGTTTTCATTTTTTTCATTTCAAGTCCATTCCATGAGGTAACCAGGTAAGAAGTAGAAGTTTGAGATTTGAAGCCAAATGGACCTGACTCCAGCTCCTAATTCATAAAAGATTTTACTCTTGTCCATCTCGGTGAATTGTGGCCTATTCTTCTTAATGTTGAAGGTCAAATGAGACACTGTTTAAGCCACAGTATGCTCCTTTCTGATACATATTTATGTTCCCTTCCTACTAAAAATGCTTTATACTCTGGCTTTGTAATGTTTCACATGCATTTTCTAAAACTCACATATTTCACAGGACTGCCAGTAAGAACACATAAAATGATATGTTTTCTGTCACTTTACAGCTCAAAAAAGCTAATCTATTATTACTCAGGTAACTTTGTTAAAGCTGTTTATAAATAATTCATCAAACTGAAAAAAATCTAAAAAAATACAAATTATTAGGCAAATAATAAAATTCATGCCATTAATCCCACCCCCTAAAGCACATTTTAAGTATAAAATTCATTTATGTGGAAAACACCGGTTTTCTATTTCAATATTTTTAATATTTACTTTATTGCTATGAATACTCACAAAGAAATAGAAAGAAATGCATAATTCTCCTCTAAAAATGCAATTAAAACACAGGTGCAAATTTCATGCTCCTTCTATTGAGACATGGTGTCTAAGCTGGCTCTCCTCTGGGTAGGCATATGATTAGTCTGATCAACAGTATTCGGCAGAACTGTCATTGTGTATCTTCCAAGGCTGGATCATAAAAGGTCATGCAGCTTCCATCTTTTGTTAACTAGCAAGTAAGTCACCACCTAAGAAGTGGCTACTCTGAGACTGCCATGTTTAAGTGTCACATGTAACATCTGGGCTGATGGTCCCAGCAGAGCTCGAGCTGTCTGCCATCTTCACCAAGGAACCAGGTACATAAGTGAAGCATCATCTTAGGTCCACCTGCTCCAAGCAATACAATCCTAAGTATTCCAGGAATCCTCTACTTCTTGTGTGTTTTCCGAGCTAAGGTCTCAGATCCTGTTAAGCAAAGACACCCTAGTGTTCCTATGCCTTATCCAGATTCCTAGTAAACAGAATCAATGCATAATATATTTGTCTAATACCACTAAGTGTAGGGAAGTATGTTAGTCAGCACATATAAATGGGATGACAGAAGATTTCAAAAATAGTGGTGAAGGCTTGGGCAGATGGCTTGGTTAAAGAAAATCAAGGCTAAATCTCTAATTATTACAGTTCTGGTTTTCATTTTTTTTCTTTTATGTTTTATTGCACACAAGATGGGATTATACATTACTTTAAGGGGCCATTTCTAAAGGTCCCAAATTGAGAAGTATTCTATAAAAATTAAGCAGCAGATTCATTGCCAGTGGAAAAAATGAATGTGATTCACTCATGTTATTGAACAAATACCTGCCTTGCTGATTTTATTTCTTCTCTATAATAAGATATTATTTCTGAGATCTGGGTCATCTAAATTTTTTGAAATGTTTTATGCCTTGGAAAATATTGGTGGATGCATAATCAACATTCATTGTAACAAAATGTCCTTCCCTACAGGTGCAGGTGCTATCCAACTAAAAACTACATTTTCCAAACAGCTTTGCAACTTCTAGATGCAGATAAGTTGGTGAATCAGATGTATTTACATAAGATTTGGAAGACAAGATTTTCATTGTGATTGTGTTTCTTTTGCTTCCAGGTGCAAACACAGTTGTGGAAGCTTTTGGTTTTCTTTGGGATGCTTAGTAGAGAGTCCATTTTCTATTAAAGTATCTTGTGATGGTCATGATGTAGAATTTTCACCTTGCCGAGTGATATTGTAGTAGGTGCATTTTTGCTCTGTAGCCAGTAGTAGAGAAAGCAGCTTTCTGAACACAGTAGTTTCCTGATGGTCACTATGATACAGTTGATCTGGAATCAGCTTTCAGACCATGAAAAAAAAAGATCTGAGACCTTAGCTCGGAAAACGCACAAGAAGTCCTGAAGTTTGTATTGGAGAGTCAATTTTTCAAAGCCCAAATTATAAATGACTTCTCCAGTTCTCTCAATAATTGTTAAGCCATTTAATATTCTTTAGTAAACTTCTTCCTGCTTAAACAAGTAAGAGAAGATTTTGCTGTCTGCAATAAATCCTGACTAATAAATACACCATTCTTTGATAACCAACCCCTAAGCCTTTGGTCTCATGACATTCCCTTAACAATATATAATCTGTCTTACCTTGATAGGTTCTCCATGGGGAGACATGACTTCGTCAGAGAGCTCCATCATCTTTAGGGCCATCAGGGCTATCTGGATAGCATGAGTATCACTCTCTCTGTGTAATCCCCCTGCTACACAATATGCATCACCAATGGTCTCCACCTAGATGTAGAGTATAATGTATACTATAAATAAAAACTCAGGAAGACCCACTGGCACATATTATATATTGGAAATCAAGAATCAAATAGCAGAAATCTTCCGGGTGTGGTGTTGCATGCCTGTAATCCCAGCAGCTCGGGAGGCTGAGACAGGAGGATCACGAGTTCAAAGCCAGCCTCAGCAATGGGAAGGCACTAAGCAACTCAGTGAGACCCCATCTCTAAATAAAATACAAAACAGGGCTGCAGATGTGTCTCAGTGGTTGAGTGCCCCTTAGTTCAATCCCCAGTACACCACTGCTCCCCTCACACACACACACACACAAAAAAAAATAGCAGAAATCTCAAGGCTCAGGCCCTATGGAGAATCAGGGTAAATCATGTACTCTCAGAAGAGAGTTTCCCTCTCAGGAAATTCACAAAGATTAGACCTCTTACATTGGGGCACTGCAGAATCCTGTGAAATACAGTGTCAGGCAGCTTCTATTCTAGAGTTGCAACTAACTTCCTAGGTTGTTTAACCTATTTTTCCCCCAACATGTAAAGCAGCTTGTGTAGAAACAGATGAGGTATATTAGTTTTATAATAAATTGCTTAAAACATTAAAAATATTTAGTCATTTTATATCTCCCTCATCATAAAACAGTGTAGGATGAAGTCATTCTCAATAAATGTCATATGAATGTAGTAAAAATGTGTAATGCAAAACTAAGACACTAATAGTCTTAAAAGTAAAAGAGTCCTTTTTTTTCCTAAATGACTTTTGGGGCTCTTACAGCAATTACTAACAGTATATGTGCATATTAATCACAAAAGATAGAAAGCAGACGTCAAATCAGAAGATAAAAGTAATGATGCTTGGTAGGCTACTGAAAATCAAGCTGTTATATAAATTCCAAGTACCACCACCACCATCATCATCATCATTATCATTGACACTGGCAATTTTTTTATCTGTCTGTGATACTGGCCACAAAAAACCCCTAAATATTAACTTAAAAAATAAATATTTTCCCTAATTCTAGTAGTTGCATTTTCTTCTTCTCTAAATATTTATTATAACCTATTAGACCATATTACTCCGAAGCCTCCTCAATGAAGGGATAAAGTTGAAGAGGGGACAAAAGAGAAGCTTTTTGTCCTTGCCTTTGGTAATTTGCTACACACTCAGAAGCCTTATCATGCCATCACCAAAGTTGTTCTTAACCTTTCTGCTAATCTCTGACTTGATCTTCCAAACCTGCCTCTTACTCAAGTTGTTTCCATGGCGCTGGCCTCCTGTTATCCCTTAAACATGGTGTTCCAACTTCCTATATCTTCTCCTGGAACAAACTCTCTGCAGATAAAATTTGACTGCCCCTCAACCCCACCGTTTCCTCTAGTCTCTCTTGTAGCATTTTATTCCTACTGAGTAGAATAGGGCATCTGTCACGTCATGTAGAAATCTGGCATTTGTTAGCTTTGCTCTTTTCTCCCTCTCTCACCACATATGGACCCTTCTCCTCCTGGTTTGTTCTCTCCTTCTTTGTATTCATTGCCTACCCAAAATGGAAGAGGCTGTATAACCAATAAAATTTTGCTAAAACAATGGACCAAGGGATGCAGGAGTACACATGGCAATGATTGAAAGATTGAGACAGAAAGAAAATGAAATTACATAAAGTCCTGGTACAACTGAGTCCTGCAATAAATAAGGTTGGCTATTCCTTAGAGTCATTGCACTTGGAGGTGAGCCTTGGTTGTGCATTTTGGAGATCTTAATTTAGCTGATGGCTATGACCCTTCCTTGTTTACTTTCAGCTCTCTCCAGATATTTTCATGCAAAATTAGAAATGGGGGGGAAATCCTGGGAGAGCAGATGATTTATTACCTAGCTCCAGCTGCATTTAGACTAACCAGGAAACTCTATGGCTGCAGTGCTTGTAGGAAGGAGCACAGTTTCTACAATTCTTAATTGGGTATTTGGAGACTACTCTGTAGCCTTAAAGGAATTATCAGAATAGAAGAGGGCTACTTCTGCTAGCAATCACAGCAGGTTAAATGGAGAAAATGACACCTTCTCACAGCTCGGGGAGAGGAGACATTCTCAAGACAGAAAATGACTACAAATAAATACAGCAAATTCCACAAGAGGTCATCAAACTTAACTAAACTGAAGCCAATTATTTTATCTGCAATTATACAGGGACTCCCTACCACCACCAAGGGAATCATAGTACTGTTTGGAATTTCCTGTTAGAAATTTCAAAAAGGAAGTTCTTGCTTCTAGCATCTCAAGTAAAACAACACAAGGGTTTATGTATTCCCATAAATAAAATTTGTTTCCTCCTCAATATTTTATTTATTTCATGTTCAAACTCTGGAATGCCAGATTGTTATGTGGCAAATTAAGCAGATGATTTGAGACTTACAAATGAGATGAGTGCTTTATTCTTAATGCCAAAATCCATAACAAGGCCAGATACTTATATTTCATATTTTTGTGGTCCTGGGAATGGAACCCAGGGCCTTGCACATGATAGACAAGCACTCCACCCTGGAGCTACATCCCAGACCCCAGGCAATATAATTTAAACCAATATGAAACTTTAAATTCTGACAAAGCAAGCAGAATGTGAAATTTCTTCATTAGCTCTCTTCCTAAAAATAGTTAGACTCTTTGAAAACTAATTTATTAGGTGTCAGAGACAGTCAATGTTGTATCCTCAGTGTTAATTATAATCATTCAATAAATCCTGAATATCTCATCCATAACTCTATGATAACCTTTGTAATAGTCTTGTTCACAAAGTTTATGGGATGTAGTTAGTGTGTTACTCATGCATATAAACTCTAGGTGGATATTTCTCTGTTGCAGAATTGAGAAAAGGTTTTTCACTTGCTCAGTTTATTGTGTATGCAAGGTAGAGAACAAATTTGAAGACAGATCTGTCTTATTCAAATGTCTACCCTTGACCAAGCTGCAAAAGTGCCTTAAGTAGGTAATTCTGATTTCTGTTAACTGGCTATCAAAAGTGCCATGTAAACTCTGTTTACATGAATTAATCTATTTAAAGGGAATTTTTTTATAATCATCATGTTTTTTTTTTACTCTTTAAAGACACAAAGGATAAAGTTCTCCTATATGAGTCATACCCTGAAATATCTCATGCTTCATAATTCAACTCGGTTTGCACAGTGAAGTGGCTGCTCTCTTGACTCTTAAACTCTACCTTTTTACTGTCTTCCATTCAGCCTTTCTCCCTCCTCCATTCTATGCTTATTCTTTGAGAAGACAATGTGGCAGTCCTTTCCTAGAACAATTAGCTCTGTTTCTGTGCAGATCCAAAGCTATTTTGGGCTGGAGAACACCCACATAATTGATACACAAAGACTGTTCCAGGGTATAGCTTTCCTGACCCTGCAGAGAAAGCCTGTCATTTACATTACAATTCAGATTCTAGGCACAGTACTTTTTTCACAGTGACTTTTGCCTGTAAATGACCATTGCCCTGCCCCACCCTTACCTTGTACACATCCAGCTCTCCACACTGTTGGTCAAAACGAGTGTAGAGGGCATTGAGCATGGTGATGACCTGCAGTGGTGAGCACTGGGAGCAGATGGCAGTGAACCCAACTATGTCTGAGAAAAGCATGGTGACATTACTGAACTTCTTGGCTTGCACCACCTGCCCTTGCCACAGTTGTTGAGCCACCTCAGAGGGGAATATAGAGCACAGAAGGTCTACTGTCTTTTTCTTCTCTTCCTCCAGGGCTTGGTGGGCTTGCTCAAGGGTGGCCTTCAGCTTCCCCAGCCTCTTCTTCAGGCCATCCTGAGCTCGAGCTTGTTCCCCTATCAAGACCACATCCCTCAGTGCGTTGTGAATTGGGATGTCTGATAGGTAGAGCCCTCTTCCTGTAAAATCTTCTAATCTGTCCACACAGGGTGACCCCAAGAACAATATTGCACTGGATTCAACAATGTAGATCATTTGGCCTTTGAGATCCATAACCTGCAAAACAAAGGAGAACCCAATTGTTTTGGTTTATTCAAGTTTGCAGCATCTTACTGAGACAAAAGGAGAGGAAGTACATACAGGGATAATCACTAGGCATTCAAACTCTGTTTTTTAACCTAATGCAAAAGAATAAATTGCTTTCTAAAAGTTCCAATTTGGTATAAGTTCTAAAATGCTTGCAGATATTTGAAGAACATTTTGGTGTATGCACTACACAAAAATTATGATTTCCAATGGACAATTCAAAACATTGAAGGCTTTCTTGGCTTCAAGGCTTTCTTACCAAGAAGCATGCTGATAATTTTGCTAATATATTCTTTTAATATTTCCCTTCTTTCTTCCTCTTTCTTTTTTATTATTTATTTATTTATTTTTAGTTGTTTTTACCTTTATTTTATTTTATTTTTTTACGTTGTGCTGAGGATTGAACCCAGGGCCTTGCATGTGCTAAGTGTGTGTTCTACCGCTGAACCACAACTCCAGATCTTTCTTTCTTTCTTTCTCTTTCTTTCTCTTTCTTTTTCCTTCTTCCTCCTTCCCTCGCTCCCTCCTTTCCTTTCTTCCTTCTCCCCACACCCTCTCTCTTTCTCTCTACAAGTGATTGAACCTACCATATCCTGAGCCCCTTTTATGTTTTATTTTGAGAAATAATTTCACTAAACCTGGGCTACCTAAATTGCTAGGTCTACCTAAATTGCTGAGGCTGTTTTCGAACTTGCAATTCTCCTGCCTCAGCCTCCAGAGCTGCTGGGATTACAAGCATGCACCACTATGCCTGACACTTTTGATATTATTTATTGGCTAATAAATAATTAGTCTCTCCCAGAGACTTCACTGGGAGAAAGCTGACCCTATAGAAAAAGTAATGTCCCTATTTCAACTTTGCCTGTAGCATTTAACCAATGTTGCCTTTTATAAACACAAAACAGAGAACCAACCAGCTAGCACGATGGGGGCTTGGAAGAGATGATCAAATTGGACCACAGAAAATTGGTGCACATGTGCACAAATATGTATGTGTGTCCACTGAAGCAGTTATTTGCAACACAAATATTCTTCAATGGGAGACTGGTTAAATAAAGTAGAACATGATCATCCAATGGAATAGCACAATTTCCAGAAAAGTAAAATAGATCTATACCCAATAATATGAAAGGATGACCAAAACATATTGTTTAGCAAAAAAAGTAATTTTGAAATAGTAATTTTGCTGTAAACAAAAATGTAAAAAACTGATATTTTCATAATTTTGCTGCAAAGAACATCTTTGCGTATTAGCCATTTAAAAACACATGTAGATATGTTAATTTTACTATAAAAATTAATATTAAAGCTGTTTCAGTGTTAGAAACAGTGGTTGTCCTGGGGTTATAAGCATTTAAGCCTCTCAGCTTTTTTTACACTATCAACTATGACTGTAAACTTTCTTTCCTGAAACTAAATAATTACCAAAGTTCTCTACCATGTGTCAGAACTCATCCCCTACCACACTCTCTGTAGCAATTAATCATATCTATTAAGTATTGATTAAAAATCAATTTAGTGGTTGGGGATGTAGCTGAGACGTAAAGCATTTGCTTAGCATGTTCAAGGCTCTGTGTCAGATCCTCAACACTGCAAAAAACAAACACATAAATAAACATTCATTTAGTTACCTCTTACAATATGTGGTTTTTCTTTACTTATTATAAAACAATATTTTTATTATTCAAACTAAATTAACTATTTGATAATAAAATAATTTTATATAGACACTTATGTAATTTACATTTAAATACCCAATAAGGATTTTGAAAGGCAAATTATATTCAATAAATATTTGTGAATTAATGAATCAAGTAAGCAAGTAAATGAATGCAGAAAGGATTTTGAGATTATTACAGCCTCAGAAGGGAGTTGTTTTAGACATAAATGTGTAATCAAAACATTTGAAGTGATGCAATGGTTTTTAGTACTCAAATATAAAATAACAATTTATATGAAAGATAATATTGAGCTTTCCTTACCCTTGAAGCTTTCTTCACAGAGTTGTCCCATCTCCTCACTCGTATGACAAATTGCATATTCAACATTGTCATGATCCCACTAAAGGTTTGGTTGATTTTGGGAGTCAGAATTTCAAAGTATTCTTCAAAATTTGGCTTTCCTTGAAAGTCCCTCCTGTTCATCAGTCTTCTAATGCCATTGCCAAGTTGCAGAATGGTCAGATCTTTGTCAAACATGAAATGGAATGGGAAGGTCTTACAGAAGAGGGATGCGGGGATCACCAGGGAGGACTGGGGTTTCCCGGGGGACAGAGACGGTTTGGTGCTTTTCACGTGGACAGAGTATAACAAATAGGGCTGATTGACGAATTCCGTGCAATCACTCCGGAAACAGGGAGGCATCAAGGACACGTCCACTTCGGTCTCATACAGTGTGTGAGCAGCTGCCTTAATGACACCGGGAAGGATCAGGGACGTGATTTTCTTGGGGAAGAAATAGTAAACATTTAAGAAATCATGCTCCTTATCCAGGCATAGAATGGATGCGTCTTCAAGCCTGCCCCTCTTTTCTGCTTCCTGGCAATGGCTGCTCTGTTTCAGGAGGGTGCTGAAGCTGTTTAAAAAATCTTTCAGGGTGCCTCCAACCACGCCGAGTATGTGTTCGTCTTCCTCATAGCAAATTTTAAAGAGCTCTTCACCGAGGGATTCTCTGATGGTCTCCGCTGGAACCCCTGACAACACAGAGCACAAGTTCTGCCACCTGGGAGAAGTCAACTGGGTAGGGCTGTTCTGTCACTTCTATTTTCAACCTAGTTTCATTGGCTTATTTAGTTTCCTCTTTATCTATTTCCTCTAATAAGAGTTCCAACCAAAATCAAATAACTAGAGTCAAATTATCAATACCGCTTAGCTTCTAAAATTCTGGTAAAAATTCTGAGTAAAAATCCTCAGAGTTATCTTTTTAAATGACCAATTTAGTGTAATAAACTACCTTTTAATCTCTATTAACTATAAGACAACAATTAGAATCTCAGGACTAAGTCCACTTAGAAAAAGCCTTCCCATCTCTCCTTATGAAATGCCTCACCCCTCAGAGGACCTCCTGTAGTGTGTCAAACACTGGAAGCCATTTAATATCAATGGTGGTGAGACTCAATTTTGTGTGGAGATAATTATAAAGCATTGTTTTTCCTCTGAGCAGAATGAACCCTTGTTATTTAATATTACCTGGATGAATATTTGCTTTAAATATATTATTTACTTTCTACAGCTTCTCCTTCCAAAACCTCTGTGTACCACATTTTCTCCTCTGCTATGCAGGAAAAATAACACTAACCGCTTCAAGACACTATTATGATATGTGGAGATGATGTTTAGAATAATATCTGGCTCCTAAGATGGGCTCAATATAAATTAGCCATTATTATCATAATTCTGTACAAATTGTACTTTTAGAAAGAGGCAACCTCTTGGTCCATGTATTCAAATTTGAAAAAGGCAGTACAATAGTCACTTGTCTATTTTTTCCCCCAAGCTAGTTATTAACGTGGGAACACTGAAAACCCTTTCTCCCATGATTGATTTCAACCTTTAAAAACATTCTTTATTTTACCTTGTTGAGCAGAATTTCTTGTGTATAAATTAGAAATGCTTGGGCTCAAGACCAAAGCCTGTGAATGTCTGTAAGTCAGTTTCCCATCTAGCCTTATCTACTTCTCAGTCAATAATGATGATAAAAAGAGGACACGTTTGAGATCAAACAATAACATATAATACATCACATTACAGTAACACAATGTAAAATATTGACCACTTCACCCACAAGTAAATATAAGTATTTTTAAGAAAATATTTCTATTACCTGCTGCAATTGCTTGATCTGCAATTAGTTTTTCAAAGTCTTCTCTTTCTAAAAATCTCCTGGAAATAATTCAATATCTTAAATTATAAAATGATACATGAATGCTAAAAATTCATATTGTAGGAAACATATAGAAATTATGACAGGTAATAGCTTTGCAGAAACAAATTTTGTCTAGCAACTTTGCAGGAACAGAGCAGTGACATGTACAGTCCAAAGCAATGTTGGGAAAGTCCAAACTGTATGTGAACTGCACATGACACAGAGTATTTCCTCATCTTTATTGAAGCATATTTGCCTTCGATGTTCATTTTACATAGACTAATACTAAAGGAAATATGCACTGGCAGAGAACCAGGAGTGTGACCTGCTCAAGAAGAGGTAATGGGGGCTGAGATGTGACTGAGTGGTAAAAAGCTTACTTAGCATGTGTGAGGCCCTGGGTTCAATTCTAGTAACCCCAGTCCTCCCACACAAAGATAGTAATAAATCTTCAGAGTTTTCTTATCATGTATCAAAAAAAAATCCACATACAGAGGGATTTTACTTTTAAGTATCACTGTTGCTTTGCTGTTTTTTTTTCTTAAACAAATACACAGTATTACTTGCTTTTTGGGTTTAGAGCTGTACATATTTATCTCAGACATCATCAAATTATACTTTCATTCTTACTCTTGTATAGAAAATTAGTAACCAGAGAAATATAGTATTTAATCAAACTGCACTTATTTTTATAGCACAGAAATTGATAACCTAATAGCAGACATTCTGATTAATAAAAAAAATATTTCAGTAATTTCAACAGGATAACCTGTCAATTTATTAAGTTTTAGTGTGGTCATTATGTCACTCAGGTTGGTTGCTCAAAGAGCTTTTGCTTTGTTTCTTCTTCTGGGATCTTCTAACTAATCATAGCATCATTTGTATGAATTCATGGGGAGGGTGAATTTCTGACACCCATGATATGATTATAACAAAATCTACTAAGTTACTGAAGCATATTAAAAGACACCCAAGGTTCTATTTGTGGTTCAATTTGCCATTAGATGAATCAAGTTTACAATCAGGTAAATTTAAATTTTTAAATATAATTTCAATATAATGTTGAGAAGTTTTCACAAGGAAATATGTTCAAGAGGGAAACTGGCCAGTTCAGTAATTTGTCATATAAAGGTATACTAGTTATAACTATTTACAGTATTAGGTAAAAATATTTTATTTAAATGGGTTGAAACTCACCCTATGATTTATTTATGTATGCATGTATACACATACATGAATATGTGTGTATGTATTATATGAAATTTGGATCTAGAGATCCCCAAATCACTTGTTAGATATTTGTCTATATTAATCAATTTTTTTTTCATAAAGAATGAGAGATTTCCTCACCCTGTGGTCTCCTTCCTTCCTTCCTTCCTTCCTTCCTTCCTTCCTTCCCTCCCTCTCTCCTTCATTCCTTCCCTCCTTCCTTTGTTTTTTGTATCAGATATTGAACCCAGGGGAACTTAACCATTGAGCCACATCTCCAGTCCTTTTTAAATTTGATTTAATTTATTTATTTTTAAATTTTGAGACAGGGCCTTGCTAAGCTGCTGAGGCTGGCTTTGCTCTTGCGATCTCCCGCCTCCACTGCTGGAGCAAGCCGCTGTCAAGGCTGCCATTTCCCAGCACCCATGATATGAGATGTGAACAGAGGTTAGTTTGTCCAAAAAGCACATACTGCAATTCATGCACCTGAATTTCTTCAAAATTCATCTTCAAAAAATATAAGCAGTCATAATCACTTGCATGTGTACCAGCAAATGCATGTATGCAACACACACACACACATACACACACACTATACACACCCTACCCATGAATTCATATAAATGATGCTATGATTAGAAGATCCCAGAAGAAGAAACAAAGCAAAAGCTCTCTGAGCAACCAACCTGAGTGACATAATGACCACACTAAAACTCATTCTCTGAAACAGGAGAAAGGTAATGGTAGTGGGGTGGGGGATAAAGAACTTCAGTCAAGGGCAATTTCCTGTTTAATATATTGGGTATTTTTGTTGTTGTTGTTTGTTTTTCAAGTTCCAGAAAATAATAAGCCGCATAAAAAGGGTTAAGTTGTGTATATCCATTGGCAAACAGAGAACAGTGAAAATGATATGTGACTTGTCAATGAGCAAGTGAAGGAGAGAAACAGAAACGAAAAGAGAGTGCCCAACACTTTAAAAAAAAAAAAGCAGAGCAAAGAAGAGCCATTTTGCTCATCAGCAAAGCAATCCTAGGATTAACAATCCAATTAACAATTGTTAACAATTAACAATGATATCATTTAAAAGGACAGTTATCTTTTTGTCCTGTAAGAAACAGGGAAAGTGGTAAACTATTTTTCAAGATTTCCAAATAAAATGATTATTGCTTACCAAGTGGTGAGATTTATTTTAAGAGATATGGCCCTGGGAACACATCCTTTCTGCATATTTGCCCGTGGTTGTCAGAATATTTCAGGACGCAAAGCCCTAAGAATAAATTTCCAGTGAACTGGCTGCCAAGGACTTAAGCAGACAGACACAGTAGCAGGGCAAGAATGACTTGTGGCTATCTTATCAGTCTGACTGAGAATTAAGGTCAGAGGCCTTCTGGAATGCTTTTCATATCACTCGTGTAAACAAAGCTTCTGTCAGACACATAGATTCACACTCTCTCCTTCTGAACCTCTCCCTGACCCCATCTTGGCTTATTTCTGCTGCCTGTAGCCTGGGACCAGTCAGTTGGCCAGGAAAATTAAGCCCAGATAATCCACAGGACAGATTATCCACTCATGGGTAGGAGATAGATGAATGCATTTATAAAATATCCCAATGATGGTAACTGCTTTGCAGCGTTCCAGTGTTCAATTCTGCAAATCTAACTCAAATATTTATTGTATTATTGACAAATTAAGTTATCCTTGAAATTTCAAGGTATCAGAAATAGGGTTGATCAAATTATTCACCATCCATAAAGGTGCTGAGAAATGGATACATGTCAGCTTAAAAAAAGAAATGTCACCTTACATTAAGTCTCCTCCAAAATCTTTTCAAGGAAAAAATTAAAAGAGAGTACACACATACACACAGAATATGATCATATTCACCAGAGCAGCCAAACTGATTATGAGAATGCTGATACTGAAGAACTTCCTTAAGAATTAGTAAGTAACTTAGCTTCTTCCCCAAGCCTGGGTCCTCCTCCTCTTACCATCTTGATATACATTTGCTAAAGATTGAACATTTTGAAATATGTGTGTTAGGGTAAGAGTGCCTGCTAGCTCACTACTTGGACCTCTGTTCTGATTTTTTTCTGTCTATGCCTTACCAAATATTTTGCTAAATACTTCCTAAATATTTTACACATAACCCCTTAGTATATATGAAAGTATAAACCTTATGGGAGCTTGTTGAAAGTAGAAGTATATGGAAACATGGTTAAAATCATGAGCTGAAAAAAAAAAAAAAACAAGCTGAATTTCAGCTCTGCATTCTCCTACACAGTTGTAAAATCCTAAAACTTTTGCATAAACCCTAATTTAGTCTTCTATGAAATGTGAAAAATAAATGTACTTACTTTCAAATTAGTAGCTGCTAAAATACTTAGCTCATTTCTGGCATATAATAATGATTCAATAAAGGTTGATGCATGCAGTAAGTACTGGCTACTTTCAGTCATATTAGTAGTTATAACAGGGAGGTCACAGAACTAAAGTGGTTCAACTTACCTGCTTTCTTTTATTTTATGCTTTGCCAATGTTCTCTGAAGTGCAAGGTTCAGCCGTTCAAACTGGAAATTGAAAAGAAATGTTTTAAACATTTCCTTACCTAACAATTCATTTGAAAAATGCAGATTTTAAAAATTTCATTCTGCTGCTATGAACATCGATGTAGCAGTGTCCCTGTAGCATGCTCTTTTTAGGTCTTTAGGGAATACACCAAGAAGGGGAATAGCTGGGTCAAATGGTGGCTCCATTTCCAGCTTTCCAAGAAATCTCCAATAGCAAGGCTGTGGAACCAACCTAGATGCCCTTCAATAGACGAATGGATAAAAAAAATGTGGCATTTATACATAATGGAGTATTACTCTGCATTAAAAAATGACAAAATCATAGAATTTGCAGGGAAATGGATGGCATTAGAGCAGATTATGCTAAGTGAAGCTAGCCAATCCCTAAAAAACAAATGCCAAATGTCTTCTTTGATATAAGGAGAGTAACTAAGATCAGAGTAGGGACGAAGAGCAGGAGAAGAAGATTAACATTTAACAGGGATGAGAGGTGGGAGGGAAAGGGAGAGAGAAGGGAAATTGCATGGAAATGGAAGGAGACCCTCAGGGTTATACAGTGGAGGGGGTAGAGAGAGAGGAGGGGAGGGGAGGGGAGAGGTGGGGAGGAGGGATGGTGGAGGATGGGAAAGGCAGCGGAGCACAACAGACACTAGTATGGCAATATGTAAATCAATGGATGTGTAACTGATGTGATTCTGCAATCTGTGTATGGGGTGAAGGTGGGAGTTCATAACCCACTTGAATCAAAGTGTGGAATATGATATGTCAAGAAATTTGTAATGTTTTGAACAACCAACAATAAAAAATAAAAAAAAATTCATTCTGAAGGTTTCTAAAAAAGGAGAAACTTTCTTGCCTGAATGATTTAATATAGTGGGTTTACACTTTGGAAGCTGGGACTGGGTTGCTATGTGTTCTTCTAACTTGGGAAGAAACAATGAGCTCAGACTAATGTGAGTTTGGCTGTGAGGTTGTACACAGGCTTTGCCTCTTTAGCCATGATCTCACTGACAGCCACAGGACAATAAAGCTGAGTCTGCGTCTAAACAGATGACTCCAGTTTGGTAATGTCAAGTCTTCTATAGAATCCATAGGCATCACTCATTGGTTCGGGAAATTCCCCTAGATGCCCTGCCACTACTTCAACCACAGCATCAAGTAACTCATTATGTCTCTCCAGTATACTGCTTTTATTGGACTTTTATACTTTCTTTTTTAGGAAAATGTTCCAAAAAGGAAAAGCTGGAATACACCTGCTTCACCAAACTCAGCTACAGTAGGAAGAGGGACCATTCCTCCTCCCTCTCTTATAAGGACAGCAAAGGTTAGAAGAAAATGACCATTTTTTTATTCCCTGCTGGCAATGAGAAGATCATGAAACACCAAAAAGGGTCTTGACTGAAAGACACAAAGGGATAGCCCTGAGGAAAAGGAAGAAAAAAATATTCCAGTGACAGAATTGTTTGCATTTCTCTCCTCATAGCCCATCAGGAGTTCCTGATTCAGAATAGGTGTAGCTCATTGACAGAGCACTTACCTAGCAAGTGCAAGGCCCTGGTTTTGATCCCCAGTGCCAGAAACAAAACAAACAAAAAACCTTCTTGATCAGAGCAGCAATTCATATATAAACAAGATAATTCAACTTAGTTTAGTTTGGAAATAATTTCTAAGAAATTCTAAGAGTAACATTCTATACTTGACTATAACACTTCTCTAATAAAATTTTACAGATTAAGCATTCAAGACTTTGAATAGTAAACAGAAGGAATGTAACTCATTCATTCAATAAATATGTATATTCTATCTACTATGAGCGAGTACTATTCTAGGTTGTACACTCATCCCAGTGGAAGAGACAGGTAATAAAAGTAAAAAAAAAAAATTGAGTAGCAGACACTATGAAGAAAAACTGAGACCTCATTTACAAAGGCAGCAACCCTGAATTATTTATGAAACTTTTTCCATATTAATATATTTTGCAGAAAGAAAGAACTCACTCAAGCCCATGGTTTTATGGCTTTATATCCATTTCAACACTCTGTTACTAGTAATATCAGGGTAATATTCTGCTCTTGAGAAATTCAGCTTTTTCAGCACTCTAGATGATGAACCTCATTTACTGTCTCACCAGTTGAACTAGTTCCTGTGTTATGAATGCACTCTGAATGAAAATTTCATGAATAATTGCTATTTGAGGCAAGATGGAGGTGACTTTGGATGGCTAGAAACTCTGACTTTCGATGGTCAGAATTTCATTGTCATAGTTTTTGGATGTCACTATTTCAATTGGTTTTTCACTTGTATACAATTTTTAATAGACCAAGTATACTTTAATTCATAAGGGTAAATTATAACACTGTTCCTTTTTTTTTCTTCTTACAACCCAATATTCTGGAACATATGTAGAACCCCATGATTCTCTTCATATCCTCTTCTTCTATAGATCTGTGATATGGGGTAAAACCATTTATGTGAGCATATCTAATGCAATTGATTCAATTCAGAAAATGGATCTGATTTGCTACAAACTCCATTAAAGCTCCTTAGACTCTATGACTGAGGAGCTCACAGGATTATAAGGGGGCAACATCTATGAAAAAATAAGCAATATAATAGTAAAAGACCAATAAATGATTGAGATGCAAAGAGTTTTTCATGACTCCAATTATGTTTTTTTAAGTTTAAACTGGTATTTTAATTTTATGTGCCTTCAATTTTTTTTCAGACAAAAATTACAAATTTGGATGTAATGATCAAGACCTTTTAAACTCAAATATTCCACTACTCTGGATGAACAGCTCCCATTGTAAATTTTCTAATGATAATGAATTTTAATACTTGCCATCCCTCACAAAAACGTAATCAAAGAGTTAAATCTGATTACCTAAAATAAGAACTATGATGCCAAATACTATTTTGAGTTTCTTCCTTTGGATTATTGATAGAACTGAAACTAAAACAGGCTGAACATTAAATCTGTCAATTTGAAAAAGAAACAGTGAAAAATAGAGGTATATATCAAAGACAAACAGATGTTTGGACAGCCAATGATGAAATTCAGATTGATTAGTACACATTTCAACTGTTTTCAACAATGAGGCATTTACTGTCATATGGCAAATGACCTCAGATGGAGAAGAAGAAGAGTCATACTATAGCCTTGTCCTCTCTGCCACATGACACTAGTCAATTCTTTGAGTATTTTTGTGAGTTCATGAAAAAACAACACAGTTTATTCTAAATAAAGATAAAGCAAAAATATAACCTATATTTCATATTCCAACCTAGCATTTCAGAACATTTCATTAAGAAAAAAAAGTAGGGCAGTTTATAGTGGCCCACATGTCTCAAAGAATAAAAGAATTCACACAATCCCGCAACTTCTCCAAGAGAGCGGGAGAGAAATGGAACATGCACATCCATTGAAAAGGTTTCAGAAGGTCACAGAATCTCTGTCTTGGACAGTTGTTGAAGGTATTTCCAATACCTTTAAAGCCAGCTCATAAAAACTCAAATGTATAGACACCGAACAAAGCTATAAGGAACACAAAGAGTCAGGGAAATGTGACACAACTGAAGAACAAAATAAATGTCTAATAACCTACCATCAAGAAACAAGGAACTATGAATTACTTGACAAGAAATTCAAAATAATAATGTTTGCTCAGTAAGCTATAAGATAGCACAAATAGACAAAGTCAAGAAAACTTTGTGAACAAACGGAGAATAAAAGCAAAGAAGTAGAAAATGTAAAAAATGAACCAAACAGAAATTCCAGAGTTCAATAACATATTACCTAAACTGACAAATAAAGAGTTTTAGTAGCAGATTTGATAGAGCAAAAGAATCTGCAAATTCAAAGATAAGTCATTTGAAACTACTCATTAGAAGATCAAAAAGGAAAAAGAATGAGGAGAATTTATGGGCCTTTTGGAACACTATCAAGTGAATCAGAATGTTTCAAAAAGAGATTCCAACATGTATATATTCTTAATGTAGCACTTCAAAATTTATCCAACAAAATAATAAAGCTAACGTGACAGAACTCAGGGAAAGGATGGAAACAATCCAATTTTCTCATGATCACCATCTGTTCCCCTCTCCGCATTTCACTCTATGCTTAGAAATAAGAGTATTAACCACTTCTCAGACTATGATACAAACACCCCCTGAGAAGGGCTATATTTCTCATCATAGCCAAAGCTGGTTGTCTTATGACTGAAGAGGAGTGAACATAATTAAATATTTCTATTTCAATGATCATGAGCCAAGATACTATAGTGATAATATAATATTTGTAGTAAGCTCCCTCAACTTTCCGCTAGTTCTGATGCATCTTCCTTTAAGCTTCAATTTGTCTCCTCTTTCTCAGTAATTCTACCCTTATTTTCAAATCAGTTACTGCTCTAACCACTAAAAGCTGCTTGTTTTTGGTTAAGTCACTAAATTTCTCTGATACTTCCTGCCTGCAGGTAGAGGGAGGTTTCTTTGAAATTCCTTTTATATCTAAATGTCAGTGAGTCTGGGTTCTTTGGTGCTCTGCATCAGTAAAATGTTGATTTTTGTATTAATTAAAATTATCAACATATTATGGTAGCTGAATTATGACTATGTCAATGTCCAACTTTATAGATTAAGTGAGTTTATATAAGCCTATGAATATCGAAAAGGGATGAAGGTATCATGAGAATTTTCAACTGCTCTTCTCTTTAGCCCTGTAGGGAGAGAGGAGCTCTCCACCTCCATTTCTTAAATATTTGACTTCCTTTGGTAAATACCATGTTCTAAAGTTTCCTTTAACCCTCTCTCTCTCTTTAATATAAAGATATTTTAAAAATTTAATTGGTGCATTATAATTACTATATATAATGGTGGAAATCATCATTACATATTTGAACATGCACACAATACAACAATATAATTTGGTAAATTTCATTCATCAATACCTCTTTCCTCCTATCCTCCCTTCTCTAGTTCCCTTCCTCTACTCTATTAGTCTTCCTTCTAGTTTCATAAGATCCCATCCCTTTTTTCCTCTTTTTCTCTTTATATAAACATTGACTTCCTAGTTTGGCTTATTTCACTTAATATAATATAATGCTCTCAAGTTCCTTCATTTTCCTGAAAATGACACAGTTTCATTTTTCTTTGTGGCTGAATAAAACCCCATTGTGTGTGTGTGTGTGTGTGTAGGTGTGTGTGTGTATATATATATATACACACACACACACACACCACAATTCTTTTTTCATTCATCTGTTAACAGACTCTTAAGCTGGTTCCATATTTGGCTATTGTGAATTGTGCTGTTACAAACATATACAACTATAAATGCTAACTTTAGTACTTGAGGATAAATACTGAGGTGTTATATAACTGGATCATATGGTGGTTCCATTACTAATCTTTTGAGAAACCTATATATTGATTTTTATAGTGGTTTTACTAATTTACAATCCCAGTAATAGTGCATAAGGATTCCTTTATCATCACTCCTGAGTTAACAACAGTGAGACACTGAAAATCACAAGCTCATGTCTCTGAGCCAAGGGAATGCCTGGGTTAAACCTAATTTGTACAGTTTTTAGATTCAGAGCCAATAAAAAAAGGAGATTTCCAGACTTCTGCAAATTGGCAGGGAATAAATGATACTCTTTGGAATTAGGACAGGAAAGCCTGTCAGAAAGCACATTATTCTTCAAAGAATTCAATTTTAAAACAATAGATAAAGCTACTGAGTACTTATGGTATGGCAAGAGCTACGGATGATTCCACTTAGTACTCATAAAATTCTAGGGACTAAATAATATTATTATTTTCATTTCACAGATGAGGAAACAGAGGTTATCAGGAGTTAAACAGTTGCTCAAAGTGATAACGTTTGTCAAAATTCATAATCTTTTTTGAAAATAATTCAAGATGTTAAACGTTTTAAGACTAAACACAATTTGAAGCATGGTTCTTCTTAAAAAGTGTTTTCATGTTTTAAGGAAATATTCTGTATTTAGTATAACCTTAAAAGTGATAAAGCAAGTGTTTAAGTATTTTCCTTAAACCATATGTGAGTGTGTGTGTGTGTGTGTGTGTGTGTGTGTATGTATGTATGTATTTACAATTTCAAAATATCATTAACCTCTCTAAAGGACATGCACTCACTCACCTCTGGGAAAATCAGTTTGCAAATACTCTCTGCCAAAGTGTGAAGATAGACTCGGCTCCGACTGGTCTTTCTTTGTGGAAGTGCTCCTTGTACATTCTTCTCAGGGATGTCTTGACAGATGGGCAGGGCTGCTTTGCAGCTCTCTGCACCTCCTGCTACCTCCTCTGCTGGATCTTTAGGAACCTGACCTGGGGCCAGTAAGGAGAAAGGACATTCCCCTGTAATCTTGAGATCCTTGAGCTTTGTGCAGAACATGATGCTGGCGCTGTCTCTGCTGTGATTTCCTCTGGCTGAACTGCTGTCCTGATAAGCAACAGCCACTATCAATTCAAGGACACTGTTGACCGGTGTGTCTGTGGGCAAAGAGAACAGAAAGAGGACTAAGAGGAATGACCTTTTACACTTACGAAAACAAGAGGAAGACAGGTGCCAGAAAATAAAGACCATAGAGTCATATCATTTTCAAGTAAATAATTATATATATATATATATATATATATATATATATATATATATATATATATATATATATATTTTTTTTTTTGCAGGTACCAATTACAAAATGGGTAGAACATCTGGCAAAGATATTTAATATGTGCACATTTAATATACTACTGTAGTAAAATACTTGCTTTTAGTATTTTAACATTTGTCAAATAAAATGTTTTTTTCTAAAATGTTCTTAACACAAACTACTAATTTTTATTTTTATAATCCATTTGCTCTAGTTTGATTCCTTAACAGTGGAATACCATGCCAAAAATTCAAGTCTAAATCTATATTTTATTAGTTTTATTACTTTATTCCATCATTATTCCATTCTTCTTTCTAAAAAAATATGAATTGTATAAACCAATATCTCCTAAAAAATACCTAAAGAAGAAAGTATATATGGAAAGACATAATGATGCCCAATGTTATGTTTTTGGACCTGGAATATGGAATTTCAGATGAAAAACAAGATTAGTAAAAATGACTACTGCAAATGAAAATATTTATCACTATAAATAGCAAAATAACTTTAAAATATTATCGTAAGAATTAATTTCTCTTCAAAGAACTCCTCATGACTAAGAACATATGGAATTTTCAGGTGTCTGAGGATCCATATATAGAGAACACTTGGATAAATCAAGAAAGATTCTCTTTCCAGGCCCACTAAACTCATATACATCTCCATTCCTGCATATTCTCCCTTCTACTTTTTTGTCGATGTCATGGTTGTAAATCTCCACATAATTCATAACTCAATTATTGCTAGTTAATTGTCACTAAAACTGTCTAGTTTGAATTCAACACATCATTAACAACACTAATGATCTTTGACTGGATCCACCAACTCTTTTCTACTCTAAAGAAAAAAGAAAACCTTAAGGAATAATGGAAAAGAACCCACAGCTACAAATTCCCTACAATGTGTGTGACACAGTTTTGGGACTCTATATTTATAACTAATCCTATCAGCAACCATATGACACAGGTATTATTATCCCCAAAGGGCCAGAGGCTCCAAAGCTCAGGTCATTTTCTTGCAAGTGAAAAGCTAGAAACTGACAGGGCTAGTGTTGCAATTGTAGGTCTATCTGACTTCTGAGCCAACCTGTTTTCTATTACCCAGACTAATTCCAAGTAACACCAATTTCTACATAATCAGGCTTAGTCTATAAACTAAGATAAGTTTATCTGAAAAAAAAAAACATGGCCTACAAGTTTATATTAAAAACAATTAGGAATCTGTATCTTCTGTCATTTGGATAATGGTATCTGAATCATCCAACACACAGTTTTATATTTCAATCTTTAGTACTGGAATGTGATCTTTTTCTTTTTCTTTTCGGTGTTTTTCAATGACCTGATATATTCTCAGTATGTATGTAAATTGTCACAGGTAAGTTATCTTATCAGATCTGAACAATGGACAATTCATTTTTCTGAATGGAGAAAAATAAGAAAACTAAATTCAACACTGGACACCCAGGAGGTGACATGCATATCAGATACAGGGACACTATGGATGCTGCCAGAAGCTATCAGAATGTGTTGTCATTTAAAGTTATACCCCAATTCTGTGATCACATGCAATTTATGAATCAATAGGGCACATAGGAAGATTCTATGTGTTCAAGAGCAGAAAATATATTCTGCCCAAAGGGAATGGAATTATTTATCTCAACCATTCACTGAGGCAGGCCAAAGGTCATAAAGTGATGGGGAACAGCTATATGAATTCTCAAAGACCTAAAAGTCTAAAGTTTCCAGCCACATTCTCTTTGAGCCTTCATTCAATAAAAATCCATATCTCCATTTTTATCACATCTCAACATAATGCTAATATTATCTTACTATTATTGTTTACTGACTTTTAAACTTCTATTTTTTATTTTTACTAACTTCTATTTTGATTTATGGTCTAAATCTGTAATGAGTAAACATTTTCTGTAAAGGGCCGGCTTTGCAGGTTATGCAGCCTTGTTTGCAACTACTAAATTCTACTGTTGCAGCATGAAAACAGCCATGGACCCTAAACAAAGGAGTGAGCATGGATACATTCCATTAAAATCTTATTTGTAAAATCAGGCTGCAAATCTGATCATTTGCTGACCCCTGGTTGTAAAAAACTGAGTAAGTTAAATGAAACATTTTGATCTGACTATAAGGCCAGAGTTACTTTTTCATATTCATTTCCTGCTTTTTTTTCTTTCTAAAAGAAGCAACTATGTGCATCTAACTCTTGTTGTTTGTAGTGCTAGGGACTAAACTCGGGGGGCCTCCTGCATGCTTGGCAAATGCTCTTCCCCTAAGCTACATACCAGGTCTATGGATCCACTTTTTGTAAAACTTGAAAATAATCAAACAGATTGTGGTGGATAATCTTAAATACCTATTTATTTTAAAAAATAAAAATGCCAATATTTGCATCAATGCTAACAAGAAAGAATGGTAACTGAATGTCATAATTTCAATTATCTCAAAATATAACTACAAAGACTAGCAAAAGAAGATACTCTAAAAATGAAGGCAATGAGAAAGAGAATATTATAGATTGCATCTGACAAAAATATGGAACTTCTTTCTAAAATAAATTATTATAATACATATTAGAATTCTAGTATTGGACTTAGATGTTTGGCAGAATACAGCTTATGATAACTCTTCTACTAAATTTAGTCTCTCATTCACATTGGATTTGAACTCTGGGAACCAAACTCAACATTTTAATTCTTATCTGTCTACTCATTCTGATTCTAGATGTATACAACTGACCAATCAACCTCTCTCGAAATTCTTTCTTTTCCTGTATTGCATAGTACCCTAATTTACAGAAAATGTCCCTGTTTTTTGTTTTGTTTTTAATCAACTTAAAAAGGGCAACAGGAAATGAGTTATGCTTACTTCAACATTAGTTAAGTGTTTAGTCTCATTAAGTCACATGTGTATAAACAAATAAATTAGCATTCTTCATGGTTGTAATTTCTGGTGAAATTACACACGGACCTTGTACAGGAAACCTATGTTCATCTTGGTTTCTTGGTTTGTCAACGAGGAATTTTTGGTTTCTTGGTCGACAAACCAGGAATACAGAGTACATTCTTCCGTTAAACTAGTGATGATTTTTATAAGTAACATCAGCAACAATTTCAGAAATGGTTCCCTTAGTTGATGAACTCAGAACACAGAGGATTAAAGAAATGTAGTAACATATTAAGGGGAAAATAAATTAGAATAATAAACTTGATGACAAGACACTGATGAGCAGCAGGATCATTTGTTCTCAGAAATGTAGAGAAGTACTTGCTATCCCAAAAGTTGAAGATTAAACCATTTCCAAATATAGTGAATGTTTTCTCACTTTTACTAGTCAGTGATTAACTTTGCTGGGCTGAGAATAATGACCCAGCTACCAGCCTTATCCTCATAATCAGAGACATTATTGTTCAGGTAAGGGGACTCTCTACTGAAACTTTAATTAACCATGAACACCTTGTTTACTTCATGTAACAAAATCATGTGGACCTGAGGAAAACACTACTGACACTAAATGCCTCTTTTATAACAGCAGATTTCAAAATTAGAAATAGGTGCTTGGTGCTGTGGCACAAACCTGTAATACCAGTAATTCAGGAGACTGAGAAAAGAGGATTGCAAGATTGAGGACAGCCTGGATAATTTGTTGAGACCCTGTCTCAAAATAATTTTTAAAAGGTCTATGGATGTAGCTCAGTAGTAGAACATTTGCCTAATACCCATGAAATCTTGAGTTTAATCACCAGTACCATCACCAAAAAAAAAAAAAAGAAAGAAAAGAAAGAAAAAGAAGAAAAGAAAAGAAAGAAGAAATGGGGCTTGAGGGGTGGGGTGTGATGGCTGGACAGCATTAGAACTGAGTCTCCATCGTAAACGCAAGTAACTATATCCAATGTTTAATATCAGACCTAAAGCCTGAACATGCCAAATCTTGACTAAAGAGAAAATATGTTTTACAATCAAATCTCAAATCCAGACGTTTAATAGCAGCCAATAGAAGACTCAAGACCAAATTGTTTTGGTAAGGATAAAATTTGCATACACCAGGACAAACCATAGCACCTGTTTTCATAAACAAACATGAGAAAAAAAGAGCTTAATTTTCAGGTAGACTGAAAGTCTAGAAAGTTTTCCTTCCTTAAGTATTGAAAAAAACATGCCAGGTATGGTGGCGCACACCTGTAATCCCAGCAGCTTGGGAGGCTGAAGCAGGAGAATCACAAGTTCAAAGCCAGCCTCAGCAAAAGTGAGGGGCTAAGCAACTCAGTGAGACCCTGTCTCTAATTTAACACAAAGTAGGGCTGGGGATGTGGCTTAGTGGTCAAGTGCCTCTGAGTTCAATTCCTGGTGCCTCTCCCCCAAATAAGAAAAATAAATAAATAAAATCCCCAAAATAAGTCTTTTAGAATTCACTGTGCAGTAGGAAATGTTTACAGAACTTTCTATGTGCTATATCAGGAAAGCAGCACAAAGTAGTAGAAAAATTGGAGAACGTCTCCAAGTTTCTCCAATACTAAGTTTAAAAAAAAAATTAAAAAGCAAACCCAATTCTGACTCCTTTATCATGTCCTTCCTTCCTAGCATTATCATTATGTTTTATTGTTACACTTCTTGAGAGATCATGCCTATGGAATCTGTTCAATTCCTTAATTCATATTTATTCCTAAGTCCCAAACTCTCTGGTTTTTGCTTCCAGTGTGTTACTGAAACCACCGTGTTAAATTCAATGATGCCTAAAAGTTAAAACTCAAGACTCTTTTGACTTTTAATATACTTGGATTCTCCATTCATTTGTATTTTCTTTTTCATAATCTTGACTCCAGTACAT